GGGTTCCTGGAAAGCAGAAGGAAAGCAAGGCTTGGCACAGGGCTTTGCTCTTGCCAGTGCCACAGGGATGCTTATTTTCCCATCTGGAGCTAGGCACCAGGAGGTGGGTGTGCTGCTCACTGCCACCACCCTCCTGCCTGGCACCCTTTGGGTTTCTGGTGGCACCCAGACAGGCTTCTGCTCCTTCCCATTTCTCCCCAGGCTCTGTAGAGATTTGGCACCCTCCCTAGCCCCCGTCTGCATCCTCAGCTATGGGCCAACAGCAGCAGCCCCTTGGGGAAGGCATGGGCCAGCACACCCTGTGTTGGGGGCTCTCCAAAATACTCACGTCCTGCCTGCCCCATGCATAGATCCCGACCAGCTGAGGCAGGGCCAGCCCTGGGCAGACACCAATTATCCTGCCAATAGCAATCTGCAGTTTCATCTAATATTCATCTGAGGCCGAGCTACGCAGGCGGCTCTCCTGCCTTTCACCTCCTGCCCACCCCTCCTCCCAGCCAGGACCGATTGCTCCATGCTGAATTATTGATGCTGCACTGCAAGAGCCAAAATCAATAGTGTTTCTCTTTGCCTGCCCCTTCCCAAGTGTCTGGCCAAAGCAGGCTCTTGGCAGGGGGCTGGGAGCCCTCCAGGGGGCTCAGCAGTGCTCAAGCAGCTCTGCCAGGAGGTGTTTGGGGCTAGGGACAGTGCACAGCAGCACAGGGCAGCAATGGGGTGACACAGCCTCTCAGCAGTTAACTATCTGGTAAACAACACTGGCTCCAGCATCGATCACCTCTGGAGTGCAGTGCAGCCACAGGAGATGCTCCACCACTGCTGTCAGACAGCAGCTGTGGCCATGCCACCAAGGCTGTGGTGGGATCCAAGGGGGCACAGTGACAAGAGGACAGGGTGAGGCAGTGCAGACAACCAGCACTTGCTCACAGGAGGACCAACTCCAAACGGAGGATGAGTTGCTCAGGGCCTCATCCAGCCAAGCTTGTGAACTGGAGTTCCCCCATTTCACTCCCTTCATCTCTGCAGCCTCCCCAGGGGCAGACAGGGTCCTGCTGCAAGATGCTCCCACTGAACCCTTCCCCAGGGTTAGGGCATTTTCCCAGTTTCCTCAGGAGATGCTTCATTCCCAGTCCATCACTGTGGCAGGACAACAACCCCCCCAGCACAACCCATTTCCAGGACAACTGCAGCACAGCCTGGGCAGCGAGACAGCCACAGCTACAGGCAGGGCACGGACAGAGCGTGCGGTGGCAGCTGAGGCAGGGGAAGCGCGGCAGGCAGTATCGATGGCTTTGCTACGGGTGATGGAGCCTCGTGTCCATTAGCAGAGCCAAGCCATTAGTGTACGGTTTCAGGCTCTTTGCGGTCCCTGGGCTGTCACTGCTGGCCCTGGCATGGCTGGTAAACAACTCCCAGAGGGGGTTCAGCATTTCCCAATCCCAGACACTGCCTGGGACCTTCCCCAGCAAGCAAAGTCTCCTACCTGCTGCCTCCCAAGAAAAGTTGGGGGATGGCCCATGCAACAGCATCCCATCCCAACATGCAGCCACTCACCCACAGGACTGCCTGTGCTATACCCAGGGCTTGGCTCAACCTCAGCCAATTTCTACCCCTGAAGCAACACATTTTCCCCTCCTCCCAGCACCTTTTGGTGATGGGAGCAATTGCTGCTAATCTGGGGCACCTGAGTCCCACAGCCACAGCTGGGGTGGATCTCTAGCCAGGCCAGAGGGACCCACAGCTTCCCAGTGTGGGAGGTGCAGGTGGAGGAGGGACAGGGCAGGCTGTGCCTCCCCACACTTCACAGTGACACTGTGTCCTCTTGGGAACAAGGTGGGACTGGCAGCAAGGTTTGTCCTTCAGGGGAGACAGGCATGCCACCATCCATCCCAGTCCCCTCTGCAGGGGTGCCACCTGATAGGGACAAGGCTAGATACAGGACACCCCACCCCCAACCTCCTGCCCTGGCTCAGGCCAGAGCAAAGAGACTTGCAGGGGGACAAGGAGTGTGCCCCAGGGGACGGAGGAGTAGGAACTGGCAAGGAGCAGCCACACAGGCCAAAGGGCGACCCCTGCCTCATCCTGTGCCCCTCAGCAGGGCTGCTGCCAGGTCTGGGGGGCTCTCTGCTTGTCCCACTCTGCCATGGCTGGAAGCCAGTGTGCTGCAGAGCAGCCACAATCAATGTCACCAGCTAGTGTCCAAAGCTTTAAGTGGTTGCATGGGGAAGCAAAAGCACGGGGAGGTGGAAAAGAAGGGTCTGGAAGAGGCACTCCCCAAATCACCACAGAACTGGGGAGGAGAGGAACCAATCTGGGCACAGTCAGCCTGACTCCCCCCTCCCAGGGCTCACAGGCAGGACATCTGGGAGTTAAATCAGCCCCTGCCTCAGTTTCCCTTCTAGCATGATCCACCTAAGCGTGCTGCTGGAAGGACAAAGCAACTAGTTAAGCAGCAGTGAAAGCTCTCCTGCCCTGCAAGCGGGTTTGCACCCAGACAAGTGGTCCTGACCTCCCTCCCACCACGGATGGATTCCCTAAGTATGCCCCACGCACACAGCTCAGCACCTTGCACAGCCCGTCCCCAGCCGGGCAGCACTCCCTGTGCCCCTCTTCCCTGCCCAAGGGCCACAGGGGGCCCTGGAGAGAGCCAGGAGCAGGGAGCGCAGCAGACATCCATCCTGTCCAAGCCTGGCCACTCTGGAGGCTGGTGCTGAGTCTGAGAGCTCACACTGCTAGTGCCCACTTGCACAATCACACAGTCTCAGCCCACAGCACACATCAAAGTCATCACCATGCAGCAGACACCCTGCCAGCCCTGTCCCCTCCCCACGTCCCGAGGCACTGGGACCTTGCATGGAGCAGGCAGGATACTCTGCTCCTTGCACCAAGAACCCCCTGCCCACCCCTACAAGCGGCAGAATGACACCACATCCCAGGAACCTCCTGCAGATGCAGAAGCTTCAGAGCATCCTTGGGGGCAGCTCTGGACACCTGCTGCCTGCCCGCTGTGTCCCCGGAGGACATCACCAACGCGCCCGTTACCTTCCAAGGACACGGGCTCGAAGAGGCCAAATTGCTCCAGCACCTTGACGAAGAGGACCAAGACCACCAGCACTGCAATCATCTCAAGGCCTTCCAGGTTCATGGTGAGGGTGTCTCATTGCCCC